AACTTAGCACTTCGAATGGTAAAATTCTGAAATTTTTTTGATTTTCTTTCTAGAACATAGGCAATGACATAGCGCGCACAACTGCAAGATCCAAAGGAAAATAACTAACTTTTACTAAGGAGGATCCATGTCGAAATCGACTTGCATAATGAAATATGTACCTATCTGAAGAACATCAAACGATGATTTCAAAACTGTCTTTAATTTTTTTTCCAAGCTCCTCTAGATGCCGAGTTATGAGCGCTTTATGGAGCGAGAAATGATAGCAAAATCTTCACGTCTTTTCAGTGCTCAAGTGAAGAAGTGTTGAGTACAAGTATATTAGACAAACGTTTTTTCATGCATAGGGTGCTCTGATCCACAGTGGGCCATATACGCAATTTTGGACCACTTTGTTCCAGTTACGCGTTCAATTTTGAATTTTCTGGGCCGAAATACGCTCAGCGTCTAGAGGCGCTTGGCAGATAGCAAAGACAGTTTTGGAAGCAGCGTTTAATGCTCCTCGGAATGGTATATATCTCATGTGAAAAAGCGATTTCGACTCCGGGTCCTCCCCTAATCAGGGGTTTTGCCTCGTTTTCATACAGAATTTGTTTTTCCAAAAGTAAGTGATTTGAAAATATTTGATGGACTGCTCCAAGTCTATAAATGTGCACATATTTCAGATAGAATATACGAAAATACAAAATTTCAACTCACGATGTTAGTTCGCACGGAGAAACTCAGACTCATGCCCATCCTTGTAGACCCAAAGCTATCTTGTTATAAGCATCCTGCGATTATTTTCAGTTTTGAATAAACGTTTGCAAGTCTCTACAAATTGGAGGGTTTCTGCTTTCGTAAGTCAACACATGCGCTGAAATGAATGGCCCTAAAGAGTCCGCTCTAAAGTAGTTGTTACCCAGATGTGTGCACACTTCTACGCTATTCTCGAATTACCCAGCACCCCCAAAAAACCTTCACCGGAAATGTTTAATAATCGGGTGCACTACACACGTTAGGCGCTACGGATGAGCAAACTCAATTATGTGAAGTCCCAAAAATGGATTTAGGTACTCACTTAATCTAGGGGGGATGTGGAACTGCGAAATTTGATTGTGTTAGGGTAGGTAAAGCGAAACCGGGTGTGATATAGCACATAAACTTTTGCTTCAAGCAGTCCTGGCATCAAAAAGCTTCCGAAAAAATTCTTTGATGGTATGTCTTAGTTCCCCTCTTATCACTCCCTGCCTCTAGCTCACTGTATCTGCAGGATCGTTATGATAATGAAAATCGAGTCCGAAATGTTTTGAACCTACTGCCACTTCAGGCGCCTGCACAAACTGAGCGTAAGTTAGTACAGACTAGTGAACTTGTGGTTACAATGTTTATGTGGTGTCAATTTGGGCGTGAATAATGCCTGTGAAGTGCAGTTGAACATTTACCCTTCATGGTCATTTCTCACGCACAAGTGTTGTAGGCACCGCAGTTGCACTATATTATTGAGTCCACTGAGATGATTATTGCTGTGATGCACCGATCTAAACACACCTCAAAGGGGGAGGGGAGAGGAGGAGTACGCGAAGCGAAGGGCTTATTCCCTTTTTGCAGTCGAATAAATTGGAACCTCAATGTTTGTTTGAAGTGCGAAATTTGGAATCGCCATCTGTACTAAACCTTTCTCAAAAGCAATTCTAACTTTATCAAGTTTTTTGAAAATGCTCATTAATGCTGACGCATTTCGGATTTGTTCTAGAAATTCCTTCGTATAGACTGGTCCTTGATTTTTTCCACATATCTAGATTATGTTGGGGTTTGAGATTTTTTTTCCACATTTCTACATTATGTTGAAGTTTGACCTTTTAGAGCAAAGGTATGAGTTCACTGGGAAAAATCAAAAAGAATCAAAGTTTTGATGGGAAAGATTTTATGGGACTGCCTAATTCGAAAATCTCAGATGTGCTTTAGTCCGTATGCGATACAGAGCTTTGCTTTTCAGAATTCCTTTATTCTTTACTTATCAAGGACTTATTCTTTACCTATATACTTGTAAAGAAAAGTTTGAAACTTTCCACATCTGCATGGTTGCGAATCGATAACGAAAAGATACTGTAAACTATAAGTAAAGAATAAAGTAATTACTTATAGTTTACATTATTTTTTCGCTATCGATTCGCAATCATGCAGATGTGGCAGTTTCAAACTTTTCTTTACAAACTCTTAACATCTTCTACACATCTTTCAATCGCTCATCAATTTTCGTGCTCGTACGAGTTGCTAAAAAAGCCTGACTACTGATTGCTAGTAAAAAGAAAAAATTTGATTACTATTAAAAACTTTATAAGTGAAGGCGAAAAGGCATTGACTGCCTGGCATTCATGTTACTCTTATCAAAACAATAGAAGTCTTAATAAATAACGTAGTCATGGTACACAACTTTGTTGATTATAGCTGTGGGATATTGGATATAAATTTGCTGATTTTTTAGATATTCTTGTCACAGCCATTCCTAACTGAAGCTCAAGCTCTGAATGCTTACTTAGTAAGAAAGTTATCTTTTTTAAACCATGAAGCGGAACTTGGAACTTCGCTAAGAATTACAGCTCTTTGATCTTCTTTTTGGCAAGCCTTTTCTACGAGAATTCAACCTGGTAAAGCACTTCACATCCTCTCAGAATTCCTATGGTAAACACTTCAGCTAATTTCTTCTGAGCTTCCCTCAAGTGCTCATGTGGAGTAGAAAAGTTTTTAAGTGTGAAGTTCGATTATTTGCTGAACGGGTTTTGCGAAACATTTTGACTTTTTCTAAACATAAACATGTTTCAGGGAACTAGGAAGTAGATGCACACAGAATAATAAGAACTATAACTAGATAAATATGATCATAAATACAATCATAGGTTTTGAACTATCAGAATATGTATCAATTGTGTCATACAAATTTACAATCTCTGAAGAGATGTTAAAATATATTCCATTAATTTGGCGGCTACGGTGCCCCTGCGGTATTTATGCCTACAACACTTGCGCGTAAAAATGATTATGTACGTCCCATATCCATTTTTTTACGCGCAAATATTGTCGGCAGAGTAAGGACGCTACCGCTAGTCATTTTTACTAGATTTCTACTAAATTTTTTGGGTCAAGTACAACGAGATGTTTTATGAAAAACGGGTGATTAAAAGGTCATAAAAGGTATGGAACCTCCTTTTACAATGTCAAATCTTTCGATTTATTCATTTTGGCAAATTTACAGAACAAAAAAACAGAAAGATTCCGGGGCAGCACAATTCCACGTTTGATCGTCAACATATCCCTTACCTCTGTGTCTCAAATGATCTCCAGGGTACTGTACTAGTCGGCGGCTTTGATTTATTTGATTGTTGGTGTAGGGATCTTCTTGTTACTGCACATTACTGTGTAACTACGGTAGGTCCTAATCCTAAGTGGCTACATCCCACTGGATGTTCACAGTTACAAATAAGTAAATTTGCGATTACCAAAACAGGGCTCGGCATGGCTTTCCGAAAATGCAAAAAACGAAGTCCGCCCTGACTTTCTTTTACGAAGTCCCCGTTATCCTTAACCGAAACATCCGAATCGAAAGAGAACAAAACAACTGTAAAAATTGATTTTGGACCTACAAAAACGATACTCCCGATATCCCCTTTGTTTTTTGTCCCAAAAGCGGTATCCAGTTTGCTTATAAGCAACCTGTGCCGAGCCCTGTACGAAAACGGCTTGAAAATTTCCTTAATAATCTCCAATAATTCACAAACAATAAACTTTACCATTCAAACAACTGCACATGCATGTATAAAGCTTGTTGCTGGAAGTAACTCTCTGAAAATCGCTTACATGCATGGTTTTCGAGATTTTTGGCAGTTTCAAAATGCAGATAAATTAATCATGCTACTAGCTAGATTCCCTTGCACTCTTCAGTAATCTAAGCAAGCAATAATGACTAGTGCAAACATAGAGACTTCATTTATCATGATTGCAATGGCAAAACAACGCTTTTCTACGCAATGCAAGAATAGATGAGAAGAATGTGCGAAAATGTTGGTAAACAATGGAATAACCGTTGCTCTTGACGATTCGATTTGCTAGATGATAAGGAATTGAGTTAATTAACTTCCTTACGCCCATCCGGAGGAGAACTCTCAGCTTCTTCAAGATTTTGGCTTTGTGCATCTCTTAGTTTCACTCCTTGTAAAGCAAGGTGTTCAGAACAAAAAAATGAAAGCTTTGTAGAGTACGTGTAGCCCTCAAGTGCCTTAATTTATGGAGATAATATGCGCTTTGAGACTCAGTGTCTGTTCTTCTGTTCCCCGTGTCATATGCAAACATCTCATGCTACATCTTTCTGAATCTAACTTCGGAAGTGTAGATGTCGGATAGAATAGCGATTATTAGTCAAACGCTAGCAAGTTTATTATGGAAAAATATTCAGAACAATAAAAGAGCCAACCTTCCTTTAACCTTTTCTAAGAAGGTTAATCAATTCACTCATATCCAATTGTTTATAGAAATCAAACTTCTAGATGTGGCATCTTCGGACCCTTGTTCATAGCATCAGGTAACATAGCTCTGAAAGCTATCTGAAGTTCTCTGTAGCTCTGATTTGATTATGATGAGCAAGAGAAGACTTGCATTTTTTTCGCGGATTTTCGGGGATCTAAAAATTGCTGACGTTCACGTTTTGAAGCCAAAGAAAGATTAACTTACTCATGGAAATCTCAAAACCAACAGTTTCTGCTCATCTGCTTCGCAGAGAAAGTTTTTGATCGTATAATTGTTTGATTTTGAGTTCTAGATTTCAAATTCTTGAGGCTAAAGCGTTTAGTAGTGTTTATTGTTTAGATAAATTGCAGTTTTTACCCATCATTCGCAGATTTGTGCCATCCCATCCTTAAAAATCAGAACTTATAAGGTCTTCAATGATCTGAGGATAATAAGAGATTGGATAAGAAAACTAGGACCTCGTCTCTCTGTTTTTCTAACCATACTATTGCTTTCAGATGGCATGGTCGTTTGCCGGTCATACGCGGAAAAATTCCCGGATCCCAGCAATCATCCTGTCACAGTAACTCTATTCGCCGTACTCTACTCATTTGTATTTGTGATTAGTTTGGCAGGAAATTTGGGTGAGTCAGCCTTGATCTCTGACATGCAATCCACATCATTGATTGATGGTTATAAAATACAAATTCAAGCAACGCCAAAAAATTACGAGGTGAATTATTAATCTACTAGCAAATAAATCCAGCCAAACTTCCGCTACATTTAGTTAATGAAAATTTCTAACTTGACCACAATATGCATGTCCCAAAAAGGTGTGTCTACGTTCTAAATTGTTCCTTCGTCCAGTTTCTTCCCTATCCCTAATTACCGTACTGAAGTCACCATTAACAAAATTTCTTTATTTAATGGAATTAATTGCTCCAAATATAGGAATGAGGCCGAAATTTCCTAGTGAATGTTAAAGACTGAGAACAAATTTTGTCTCAGTAAGTTCTGGAATGCTAAGAGCTTTTTCATTAAAGCAAAATGGTTGCTAATATATCCATATCTCACCTTATCGTTATCTGGCAATCAATTTTTGTAGCTTCTCTGACCCATTTTTCTAACCAAACAGCCATAGTACCGTAAGAATTCTACTAGTACTTGCAAGCAATTCCTTGGAATTTCCACAAAATTAGAAACCTATATAAAATTTCAGCTTATAGTGAGACTGTCCTACATAGTTGAATGGTAACAGTAAAAGGAAGCGATTGGTCATTTATTCAGTTTCGATGTGTACTAAGCCTGCCAAATATATCTACTTAGCACTTGAATGAAGGGAGTGAGGCTATAGGGTTACTAAAAATTATATGATGAACAAATTCATTGAGATCATGTAGTTCAAAAAAGTTTTCATCGTGTTATACGTAGCAAACGCCTTCTAAAGCATCTCCAAATGCACGTTTTCAGGTGTCATATATGCAACCGTGAGGCATCGAAGCCTGCAGACAGTGCAGAATATATTCATAGTGAATTTAGCTGTTAGTGACGTTATCCTCTGTATGCTGTCCATACCGCTTACTCCAATCACGCACATTGCCAAACAATGGTGAGTTCACTTACAAAGAAAATTTTTTCAGTCAAAGTGTCATCTCAGATGAGTTCCATGCCACCTTGAAAAACATTACACGCTAATTCCAAATCTATTCTCAATATCTGCCTTTAGGCCTCCAAGTTGTGTGTTCTTTTAGATTCTTAAAGAAGCATTACGATAAGTTGTGAACTCCACATTTAGAATTGGCAACTCTAATTAGCCCAGTATGAAAATTGCCAGGTTGTTTTGTTTGCTTTCCGATGTAAATTATGGCCCTTCATGGCTCAAAACTCTCTTCAAAAATCCTACCGTATTCCTACAGTAATGAAGAGCGATTGGTGATTCGCTCCACACCGCAAGTCTAAGCTGAAGCCAGCTCTACAAAATGGTAACCAAAGCTTGTCGAAAGACTTCATTGTAAGAGAGTTATTAACAATCAAACAATAAGCACATTTTTTGGGACACCCTGTATTTGGAATCATCATCATTCAGTGCACATCAAAGGGCATAGATTCTTTGGTGAGGCCACTTCGACTAGAAGACTTTCCTTGTTTTTTCCTTGGAAAGTGGAAATCATATTTCTGAAGTGGTCTTAGCAAAGAAACTGAAACTTCATGTGTAGACTAGTCGGGATCTCAAACCATTAAGGAAAAAGGTACGCTACTACTACTACATTTACATTGTAAATGATAAAATTCATGTATGTAGCATCTATCTTGTAATATATATCTTCAACTAGCGACCCTACGGGTCGCTAGCAAGTGGGTAGGGGCAGATACAATATAAGGGCTTAGTTGTGATTATAAATATTTCTAAATAAGTTTTCTATGCCTTTGCTGAGAACATCTTTGCGAAGCATTTTACAAAAGGAGAACTGTTCGAAGAAGCAATAATCTCCAAAAATCACTCAGCATTTCTCGAAATTCCTGCTGCAACCTCAACAATTTCTATAGAAGATCGTCAAGGAAGTAGAACATCTATCGTTTTGGAAGTAGAAATATCCACAACATTTGTGTACTACAAAAAACACTTCTCTCTCAGAATCAATCCGACAGCAACGAAATCAATCGTCTAAGAACTTTGTCAGAAAATTTTCTAAATTTTCTATTTTTCTAATTTCTTTCGCCAAAGGAATATGAAGCTTACTACATAAGTAGATCCCTCCCCGAAAAGCACACGAGCCACCTAAAGACCGTCAATCATAAGAATTGCATAAACGTACAAAAATCTGTTCCCCTGCCCGATCAAGTTGCCCTACGTGCCGCTTGAAAACAGTTCAAAAATTATAAGAACTGTCCCGAACGTACAAAAATCTGTTCCCCTGCCCGATCAAGTTGCCCTACGTGCCGCTCGAAGACCGTTCAAAATGCCCTACGTGCCGCTTGAAGACCATTTAAAAATTATAAGGACTGCCCCAAACGTACAAAAATCTGTTCCCCTGCCCGATCAAGTTGCCCTACGTGCCGCTCGAAGACCGTTCAAAATGCCCTACGTGCCGCTTGAAGACCATTCAAAAATTATAAGAACTGTCCCAAACGTACAAAAATCTGTTTCCCTGCCCGATCAAGTTGCCCTACGTGCCGCTTGAAAACAGTTCAAAAATTATAAGAACTGTCCCGAACGTACAAAAATCTGTTCCCCTGCCCGATCAAGATGCCCTACGTGCCGCTCGAAGACCGTTCAAAATGCCCTACCATTTAAAAATTATAAGGACTGCCCCAAACGTACAAAAATCTGTTTTTCTGCCCGATCAAGTTGCCCTACGTGCCGCTTGAAAACCGTTCAAAAATTATAAGAACTGTCCCAAACGTACAAAAATCTGTTCCCCTGCCCGATCAAGTTGCCCTACGTGCCGCTCGAAGACCGTTCAAAATGCCCTACGTGCCGCTTGAAGACCATTTAAAAATTATAAGAACTGCCCCAAACGTACAAAAATCTGTTTCCCTGCCCGATCGAGTTGCCCTACGTGCTGCTTACAGACCGATAGTAACTATTCAAAAAGAAAGTTTAAGCCCTAAGTGCCGCTTGAAGACCGTATATATAAGAAAAAACATCTACGACCCCTAAAAACAACGAAATCAGGTATTTACAGCGTATTCTGAAATTGCCGTACATGCCATTTTTGGACTTTCAATTCTGAGAACTGCCCCAAACGTACAAAAATCTGTTTCCGTGCCCGATGCAATTGCCCTACGTGCCGTTTACACACCGATTCCTAGTTGAAAGCGCAAGCGGTACCCATTAACAAGCAAAAGCAAGGCTGTTATCAGATAAACGTTTCCAAAAGTACCAACGAGACCAAGTTACTCACGCACTCTCTTGTCTACACGTGGAAGCAAGACGATCCTAAAGTGACTGTTCTTATTGTTAGTTAGAGCATTTTTACAAGAGTTGGGAACTTAGGTGAATTTAGCTCAAGTCACGCTGTTACGCAATTTGGCATCATTTCAAAAGCAACTAATAGAAGTACGACATATTCGGAAGACACATTCTGGGATAACAAGCTCGAAAAAAAAGATACAAGTATTAACACACGATGGCGACACAGTCTCAAAATCATTACGACGCTCATGATTGCCTTTCGAAACCCGTGTGACCCTTTTACGAAAATCTGCTTGTTCACTCGTTATGAAATTTGGCAGCGTTCCAAAACGCATGCCACTTGGCAGCAATCCAATTCCAAAGATCAGTGTATTTCATCATAATTTTTACGTCTGCGGCCTCCTCGTTTGCCATAATCCAACTATCAGAGGACTATTGCGTAATCAACGAATTCGTTATATATTACGTAGTGATTGAGCATTGAAGATACATGCTGAAAATCATCTCATTTATAAGTGGATTCTAAGCATATCAATTCATCTATTTTTCCTTCGCCCCTAAGGGCTCTCACTAGTTAACTGCGGCGAGAATTGGCTATGTTAACATTGCTCACACTGCAAAAGACCACAGATCTCTGCACATGTACTATCTATATGAAGCCAATAGAATTTTTGCACTACAATCGCTATTTTTTCCTTTCATATGAGACGGCACTTACCAGGGAAGGATACTTAATCGAAGTGGGGTTTCCAAATGAGTTTTATAATGTTTCATAGAGCATGGAATGCTGATTTCAAAAATGCTTGCGCTATCTGCAAAGCCCTTCTGGGAGGGGAGTTGTGGAAATCTTTTTGAAGCAAAAATTTGAATGCACAGCTAAAGTGAAATTATTCATAACTGTAGTTTGTGAGCTTAAATGGGGCTTTTAATATTACCGTAATATTACCGTCACGTTTAGTACAAGAAAAGAAACAACTTCGATCTAATAAACTAACGCTAGTCATTACTCCTTTGTAATGCCGGCAAGACGTCAACACCTGCTACTTTAGCCAAACCCTAACATTTTTGCCTCGAAAAAATCCCCATAACTTCTCTCCCAGAAGCGCTTTGCAGATGGCGGAAGTAGATTTGGAATCAGATTCATATGGAAACTACACTTCGACTAAGTATCTTTCCCTAGTAGAATCCGAGCATACTTCGCGCGATTTCAGTAGCGATTTGGTACCCTACCAGATTTTTTTGCGTTTAGCTTTCGTAGGTTGTGATAGGCCCTAACTTTTGTACATCCATAATGCGCCAACGATAAGTCATAAAAATTGGAGCATTTTGAAAACTCGTCGCGACTGAAATGCGTGAAGTATGGCCGTTACCTAAGACCTAAAGCCCTGGCCATACGTACAGCGATTTCATCGTCGCGATTTCATCGCCGAAGCATTTCGTGATTTTAGCGACGAAATCGCGACTATCAAATCGCTCATCGCGAGTTCTGGCCATACCTGCCTGTTTAGCGATAAGCTGAAAATACACACTCCAGACTCGTTCTACGGTTTCTTTTGGCTTTCAGAAGAAATATTTAGTGTGATTTCTTTACATTTGCAGTTCTTCGTCTTTTTAGACACCAATAAGTTCTTTCATCAACAACTTATATTAGTTTCTCGCGCATTTGCATTCATGATTTAACCTTTCTCATTAGGTACAGGATGTAAAGCTAATTTTACCAAGTTAGCTGCGGTTTCAGACGTTGCTAATTTTTTCGCGATATTCAGACATCTAGATACTACGTATACTGTTTAGTTACGAGTTTCGAACAACCAAAAATATTCATTTTGAATGATGGTAAGGATTAGAAGAAAAGCGCAACACAACACGAAAGAAGTGCAATTTAGGAAATCTGCATTACATCTTAACATCTCCGCAAAAAAAACAAGTCGAAAGAAAAAAGAATTGTCCCAAAAACTTCCAAAAAAGAAATCCAATTTCAGCGATATCGCCCCGTCGCGGGTTTCAAAGTTGCGACGCGATATCGCAAGATTTCTGCCAAATCGCGACGATTTCGCTGGAATCGGTATGGCCTAGGAAAACACGGTCTGCGATCCGTCGCGCCGGACAGCTAGCACGACCGGTATGCATGATTTGCCGGCATGAAATAGGGGGAATGGCAGTTGTCCAATTGCACAAATCGCATCGCGGTGATTTTTTTGACGGTATGGCCAGGGCTTAAGGCATACCTCTCGCGTTCGCGAAATCGCCACATCCTCGCGACTTGGCGATTTGCCAGATGTCTAGAGATTAAGCATGCGAGGCTTTCAGATGCTGGGTGCTGGGTAGATTTCGTAAGTTGTAACAAACACAGCAAGTCTGGCCCAAACAAAGCTCGTTTACGACCAGCTATGGAGGGTCGTTGCAGTGCCAAATCGCGCGCCGACTAAAATCGCATGAGATATGCCTTAGGCCTGACAATGCAAAACCCATATGGTGATGTCTTATTGTTGGAAGATCGCTTGCTCATGTGGAGTCCTGTACTATCGTTTGCAATCCTTTTGTTTCATTGTTATCATTATCGGATTGGATTATTATACAAATGTGCAAATTCATTACACTTTTCGGAAGAAGACAACTGTATGTACTTATGTGCATGTCTGGAGGGGATGGGGAGGGTAGAGCAATCTGTGTCTCACAGATTTCTTTACCAAACAAAATAAGTTATTCGTCATTGGGCCTCTCATAAACTCTCTAAAATGAAAGGAACTATGATGCTTTCGCTAAACTGCAGCGGTATCAAACAACACAAAAATCTTTTCAAACCAAATTTTATTCCATGTTTTGCAGTAGGGGTGGATTTGAGTGAGCCGAATGTCTCATAAGAGTAAATTTATCAACTCCAAGTGACACGTTAACAGTGGATCTGTTTGAGCATCGCATCACAAATGTGTATTTCGTTAGCAAACCACCTAAATGCATGAGTTCTTTTTATTGGCCCGCGATTAGTTACTAAAAAACGTCCATGGAATGTTATAGTATTGTAGAAACAGTGCGTTTGCTTGGTCCACTAAGATTTTTTGCTTAACGGAAGCCTAAGCTTCTTATCTCCTCGCCTCTTGATATTATTGCGTTACAAGGGCAGAACGAGGCGGATTAGTCTAGCTACTTCCAGCTCATTTCATTAGCTCAGGAAGTGTATCCTTGAAAGTGCGCAAATTTGTCAAAGATGACATTTCTTCACGTGTAAGAGGGAGACTGTGCTAGGCAAACTAGCAACAGACTAAACTTGTGTTCCCAAATAAATTGGAACAATTAGCGATAACCTAACTATTGAATTTTCCTATTTATAAAAATTTCTAGCCCCTATTACTTTTTTCGTACTTAAAACTTTCACTCATGATAATCCTCACGTTGAAAACGTAATGAAAAATTTTTTTCATAAGATATGCTGTCAATCTAGTATCTAATTATCGAACATCGAATACTTGTATTCAAACAATCTTGCCTTTTCCACTTTTTGGTTGTGGCCACGACAAGATGGTGGCGTAGTCAATGAACAGATTTCTTCTATTTATCTTACACCATCAAAAGTAAGACGATACTCAAGATACTAAACTTTCAGATTGTGATTTGCGTGATGCTAACTTTTACATATGTTCCTATTCTATTAGATAATTCGCAGTGTTGTTTATGAAAAAAACATTTTTCAAGAACAGAGAGGTTAGAAAGTGAAGGAGTTACGCAATGAAAAGGATTTTTGAGATACTTTTTGAATTTTGGGGCTTCTAATTTTGAAATTGCAAAAAGGGGGTTTTGGCTGCTGCCACTTGCGCAAAGGAATTCGCAACGCTAACCAACATCTCATTTGTTCAAATACAAGTCTTTGCATAGTTTTGAGTGCACCACTTTCGAAAATTAATGGTTTTCTTTAAAAAAACGTTGCTTTCAAAACGCTGCAAATGAATTGCTTTATGCATGAAACTGAGGTTGTGAACGAAATAATTGCGTCTCGGCAAAAAAAAAGATCTTATAGGTATTTCGGGTCGATGTTGTGTCGGGTCGTCGGAGGCATTCAAGCCATCGGACTATTCATTGGCACATTCTCATTATGTGCTATCGCTATAGACCGCTATTTTCGATTGGTAGTTGCCCCAGGTACGAATTTTGAGCTATTTTTAATTGAAGATTTTCGGTCACTGAGCGCTATCAAAATACTAGAATTTATTCCAATGTTGCCCGTGCCAGCATTGTGCCAGCACCATGCCATGAACGACCATGGAGATTAGCAGCAGGCGCATGGCGCTAGCATGGGTACAGTACTGGCACGGCGCTGGCACGGCGCTGGCACACGGGCAGTTCTAGAAGCTGCCTAAATGATCATTGCGAATGACGGAAATATGGGGTATGTCACTTCACACAGCAGCTTTTCTTATCTATCTGTAAAGTTGTCGGAAAAATTCGATTTTTTTTCTAGGAAGTCCGCTCCGAAAGGTGAATGCGATCCGAATCACGGTCCTTCTATGGATCATCTCAATATTAGTGACGTTACCTTACGTCTACCACATGAAGATGAAAAAATATCCTGCAATAAGTCAATTTTACAACTTGCTGTCATATTATGCTTCGCCATCCAGTTTCTTTCAGACGTGTGCGGCGAATTTTGCACTGAGAAGTGGCCAAATGTGCATTCAAAGCGGATATATACGCTCTTCGTGCTTGCTATCCAGTTTGTGATTCCATTCACGATCATGACCATCTGCTATCAAGCGGTAGGTACAAATCTTCTGCTTTAGTATTTCAATGTAGACGAAATGCGCATGGGCTCGCCAAGGTCTTGCACATGTATGCGAGCTAACGGCATGCCGCGGCGGGACCATGTCTGCCCCCTCCTCATTCTCTACAGTCTGTCTCATGCGCTGGCAGTGTGCACATCTTCAAGCTAAATTTTGAACTAATTCTCCTTCTCAGGTATTCTCATTCCTACGAAGACGAGCGCAATCTCGTCTGACTTCCATCGCACAGCAAGCAAACTTATTGTATGTCGTGGCTGCCACAGCCGGTGGTGACACGCAGCAACACAAGGAGCAGGTGATTACCGTTTTCAGAAAAAACTGACAAGATCAAAGCTAATGAGTGATTGCAGTTGACCCATCTAATCGAGCAAAAGAAACGAGTAATGCAGCAGCGAAGACGAGTAACGCTGATACTAGTGTCGATGGTAGTGATCTTCGGTATCACCTCACTGCCACATAACATCGTCAGTACCCTCATGGAGTTCACTGACAGTCAGGATCTGCTCGCCTACAACGGCAACGACTACACCTACCTTCTAAACCTCATCACGCACTTGTAAGTTTTTAAAGTGCGGAGGTCCCAGGATTTCCGTCCGGGCGGAGGGGGGCAAATTTTTTTCAGATGAAGGTGCGCGGCGCTAGCCAAATCCGAAGAAGATTTTGGGGCGCTTCTCAAAATTTTTGGGGACCTATAACCCCTAGAATCTAAAAGAAAAATTGGGGGCGTGGCTGCTGCCGCTACAATGCTAATTTGATTTTTTCAAAGTTTCAGAAACTACTAATCGCTTGTACATTTTTATGACCCATGTATGTACTAGGATGTCTAAAACTGTATTCGGTCGTTTTTGGCGGTTTGTAGAAATGCTACAAATCACTTTTTGTGTGACTATATGGTACCATCGGGAACAGCTTTGCCAAAATATTTCTTTTTTTTTTGATGACGAAAGAGTGCAAAGGAAGAATGGTCAGATCTTTTCCTCAAACTTTCAAAAGATAACGCTCCGAAAAACGAAAGGAAGTCAAGTTTTAGATGTAGATTCGGTACCCCAACAAACTTTCGATTTGCTTACCAATTGCATGGCAATAAGCCAAACTCGCGCGATCTGAAATGCCCAAAATTTGACTTCCATGCGTAAATGCCTGAAAATTTCCACATTTTTTGCTGCAGAAACTCACAAATAGCAGATCACATCCTCCATTGTAATTCATCTAGCCAAAGGTTGTGTGTATCCAGCTACCAGTTTATTTGTCTGTGCGTTTACTACAAGCTGAGAACGAAACTTAGAAATTAAAAAAAGCGATTTTTCAGAAGTCTGTTCATAAGGGCATAATTGTCAGTTTTGGTGACAGAAAATTTTGATTCTTGATATTTGAGAGTAGAGATTAACTATCTCCTGGCAAAAAAATCTTAGCAAAAAACGTGAATTGTGAAGCTATGTGAATTGTGTTTCACCGTTCGACTAATGGTGTTATCAATTCATATGATGATTTTTAAATTTACAATTAAGGGCACAGAGTTGATCTTCGTTGCTTTTTTTTAAAGGGAATGACGTTCATATCAAGCCTAGCTTTCAGTCTGGCTATGCTTTCGTGTGTCGCCAATCCACTTCTATACGCTTTTCTCAATCCGGAATTTCGCGAACTGATCCTCGCTGGTGTGGCCGGCTTCAAATGGGCGCCGAAGTTCGTAAGCCGGACGTGGCAGCCCACTCAGACTACGGTAGTGTGATCTCCGTCACGCCTCAATGTGGTAATTTACCTGATGTGACGGTAGTGTCTTTCAAACAACGTCCTGTGTATGTGTTCGCTCAAGTTTCTCTAGGAAAATTTCTCTGATGATCACTTTTTCAGTGCTGTGCAACGAAAGCCCCGCAATCCGTGCTGATTGCGATCTGACGTCTTCTTCGCCTTTAAATGTGATACGAATCATTTATACAGTATTTATTATTAAGCGTGTATCAAGATCTCGAAAATTATCATATATTCTTATTTCATGGCAACTAGTCCAAAGCCTTGGATCTATGAAAGTAGGATGTGCTTCCACAAAAGGACCACAGTGAGATGATCATTTGCACAGCAGTAAGTTTGAACAAAAGCTTTTGATGCCAAATTTTGTATTTTTAGGACAAGTCACTCAATTTCAATGTGAATTACGCAAAAAGATTAATTTTGAGTTTGAAACTAATCAATTCATAGATCCTAAGCTTAACTACAATTTTTTTTCGCAGAACACATCGCATTCTATATCATAAACACCAAACCCATAACATATTCCCTTCTGTCGGGTTCCGTCAATGTTTGGTTGTTCTGTTTCATTTGGATGTACTAATAAATCACTTTACCATGTAATAAGCTAAACACGACCACTCAACCACACTGCACAACCTCATTTTCACACTACAATAATTTTAAAACGCATGATAAACGAAGAATGTGCAACAAAGAATAAATAACGTCAACAAAACAACACTGATTGTAAAAGGGTCTCGATCAAGTACGTCTTTGGATTTGCACATCCTATATGATCATTCATTTGTGATACATAGTTCTTCCTCGTTCAACCGACTATAGACTCAAAATCGCACAGAACAAAACCGATCTAAGCCGTAGCCAGTACAGCTTCTTCCTTCAGCGATGGCTCTGAATCTTCCGTCTAATCTCAATCTCAAAAGAAATTACCGAAACTGACCGAGAGACAGATGAGAGCATGCTTGAATTTGTCCCACCTGCTTCTTACTTTTGAAAAATAAACGAGAAAATAAAAAAACATATCGCATACGAACACCTCGATTGATATTGACGATGATTCAAAAGCTATGTACTGCTGTAACGGGTAAAAGCTATACTAAATAAACCCAGATCACTGTCTGTGAAATTTAGTCTTGGGTCTTGGTTCATAAGCAAAAAAAGAGTTTCCATACAATTATAAACTTTACATACAGACCAAGGACTGTTCTTTCCATTCCTCGTCAAAGTACGAAAAGAAATGGTTGTGACAGTCTGTTTTCCTGAGATCAGAACATTTGTTGCTAACATTCTTTGTACTCTAATTAGGTTTGGAAAGAGAAAAGAATATGGAATATCGAGAAAAGAAAACGGAATAACAGCTGAAGCACAATTACCTATGGGTACAAAGGATACGATTTTTACCTTTTCGGATTTCTTTTTTTTTTGAAAGGTATTGAAAACCATTAGCGAGATGAGGAGCTAGATCCATTTGGATAACGCACGGGAGTTCCAGTGATTATGGAATCCTTAGGTGGCTCCGGTGCTGCCGGCATGTTGAATGGACTCCGCAAGCCTGGATGAGTACCGTATGACTGTGTGTATGCGGGATGTGCGTAAACAGGCTGATTCGCTGCAGAATGGCCATAAGCGGCATTGTGACTCGAAGATGCACTATTAGAGGAAGCTACTCTACCATCCTAAAAAATGTACCTAACCCACTTCAAAAGACTGATAAAAAAAGAACAACTTACCAAGGTTTGCTGCCGCTGTGACGTTTGAGGCTGACTAGAGACTGACTGCTTTTGTAGATATGAATTATCCAAACTTGTTTTTGAAATCTTAGGTGAAGGTTCAGGGGTGATAGATGAACGTTCATTACTCACTGCTCGTTTGCTCTGCTAGAAAAAATTAACAATAACGGTTTGAAAGCCAGGTGCCAAAAAGATCATTTCTGAAAACCGACTTCGTCTTTGGTTTGCTGGTCCTTCTGCGGCTCATCTTGTTCTACTTTGAATAGCATCATTCGATGAAATTCTGTCAGATGACAGAGTATCGACCAAGCGCTTTTAAAACGGCTATCGCACGAGGCACATTTGAACGCTGTGGGCTCTTCTAGAATAAGGGCACTCACCAACTCAAAACAAGCTCGAGGTACTGACCTTCTGCCTTCTTTCTCTGACATCCAGCAATACGATGGTCTTTGAACAATTCAAAGTCAGCAGTGACAAAGCGGCAAGTGCCACAAATCATTGTATCTGCCATTTCTGTAAAATATGTCGAACAGCGTTTTGGTACCTCTGTGAGTTTTTAACTCTCAAAGACCAATTTCTTTGCCAGGCATAGTCTCGTCAAAGCACAAAGACCCTAAGCAAGAAATATTGCTTTGAAGCTTTCCGCTTATGCATTCTCTTCTTTTTGTAAAACATTAGATAAAAACTGTTGAAACGCTTTCACTGTACATGTGCTTTTACGGGACAGTGTACTTCTGCGAGCGTTGCAAATTTACAGAAAGCATCAATGTGGTGTCGAAAAACAAACCTGTGTGGAAAAGATCCTCATTGACAGTCGAACTGCCTAACGCTGCTGCTCTATTCAGAAGGTTCTGCTGCTTTACTTCATCAAGTGGAGCAAATTCCGCTGCACGCAAGAGTTTGGCAGAAAGCGATTCATCTTCTTCGCCAGTCCGTTTGCGACTACTAGAAAGACAAAAACTTTTCCAAGATATTCATAATTCATAAAGTTCAGAACACTTGCACGCCAACAACTAAGGGCAGTGACCAGATCCAGCTTTCCTTGCCGGAGAAGGCTTCCCAGCTCATCTCTCCGCATCTATATGGCGGAGCTCGGAACTTGGGATAATGCGTTCAATATTCAACGAATTCTCCACGCGCTTCATTCTTTTCACGGAATCCGCCGAAGTCTATTCGCTGCTATTCTTGGCTTAGAGGAAGCAAAAAAATATCCCTCAATATTTTCAACTGCTATGAAGCCAAAATCAAAAGTGTAGTCTAAAAGGACAGCATTTCCCTTTGAACACTGCCTTTACCGAGCGCACAAAGAACTCGAATAAACATGATCAATGTCTCGACATTCCCAGCACTTCCGCCAGGTTACAACCACTCTGACATAAGAACCATGGAAGATGCTGGCGGATATTTTGCGCAAATTAAAATGAATTCTGCCTACGGCACAGGCCAGACTTCGCTCAGAAGCGCCCAAACTTGTTTGATGTTTCATCATTTCAACTCTTCTCGCATACGGTCCGCTTGCGTTCGAGGGTGCTGGCGCTTTTCGCTAGAGCGGAAAGAGTAAGATGAGAAATATGAAAAAAGACTAAAGAGTTCGAGCGCTTTCGAGCGCTTTTTGATGCTTCTAGGCGCTCTTAAGCAGGGCTGGCGTTGCCTGAGTGATCAATAGCAAGTAAGGTAAACCGATTTGAAGAAAAAGGAATTAACTAATGGAAAAAACATGGAAAAAGTCATCAACAATATTTCGCCTCATGCCAAATGCGAATACGATAGATTACTGATGTCATTTTGTACAAAGCAAGCAAGAAAACTTCTCTTGGTGCTTTTGCATTCAGAAGCACCACCGAGCGACGTATACGAAACAAAATAGTAAGCAAATGAACGATATACAAAAGTCAAACAATGCTGAATAACTATATGGGTAAGTCTTCGTTCTCATCATTACCTCTCAAGCTCCGCGCGCTTCTTCGCCTGCACAGCCAGATCCACGTGGTGTACATCTAGGAATAAACTATCAGTAAACCCTTCAGCAGTTAAAAAAACACAAATAACGACAAGAAAAATGAGAAAAAAGATTCGATAGGATGCAAACAACAAGATAAATTTGAAAAACGCGTGCGTATTCTACCGCCAAAATCGCAACGTCGCCAGGAAAATGGACTCAGACCCTTTAGCAAATGCAAGCGTGCCTGAAGTCCGCGTTCATGAATTACGAGAATCTGAATGAAAAGTTGAGATATGCCAACGAGTACTACCTGACAAAAAAGGCACCTAACCTAGTCTGACCCAAAAGCGACCTACATTAAAATCAACTCGAAACGTGAGTCCAAACTCACTGTCTCTAGGTTGAAAAACAGTGTGAAGAGATTTGTGAGTTTTTATTTATTGCGCACGATAGACTGGTGACTATGGGAGACGGCTCGTACTTGGGAATCTGAACAAATCAGGTCTTGATACCGTAAAATCACTAAGTCGATAAGCACACAATTTTTGACAGCAACGCTTCGCAGCTAAGGACAATATTTTTGGACTCCAGCTTCAAACTGATTCCGACTATGTGAGTGTCTTCCCAAGACCCATCTAAGTTAGGTGCTTTTCCTCCTAAAACTTAAATTTACCTAATCAAACCTAACACATCACGTGCAGTCTAATTCCTCAATTCTGTGGGCATCGACGCTAAACCAAAATTTATTTGAATGATGTATTAGCAAGCACTAACATATTCACCTGCTCAACGAGGGTTTGGCAAAAAGCAATGGAATGGAAGGCAAAACAGTGAAAAAGTTGAATAGAGATATTTCGCTTCTCCTTGCAACACCCACAACAGACACTGTGAACACAGTTCAAGCAAAAAGAATTTGTGTTTAGAAATTCTAAAATTCCCACAGATCTTCATGCACAAGATAGCATGCTTCAGGAACTTGAATCGGGTCAAATGTGTAGTTTGAGTAAATAGAAGGTCGACCAAGTCGCAGAACATCATCTTGTTTATAGGTTTTAAATTAACAAGAAGATGACAAGAAGACAAGCAAAAAATCTGTGAGCGGGATACTTATCGGGACTATACCACACGAGCTCAGTCAGCTAGAGGAGGTTGAAATGCGCATGAAACAGCTTCATGGCTTTCGCAAAGATATGTGGCTTTGCTCAGTTCATTGCGTATGTAAGTCCAACTTTTGCCTGATCAGCCCAACTCATTGCAACTACTCATACCGAAGAGAACGAGCATAAAAGAGAACAAGAAAGATAAGAAGAATATAAATCATAAAGACCACATAAATAAATCAACAAGGAGTTTAGCCACAAAAGATATAAATTGTGAAGTATAGTACGACGCGCTGTGCAACAAAAGTTGTGCCGCGCATGCTCTCCAAAAATTGAGGTAAGCTAACCTATTATTACACCCATCCACTTTTTTCCATTCAGCGAAGAGACTGCAGCATCGGCCTCACTTGGTTGAGAAAACTGCACAAACCCGAAACCTTGCTGAAATAAAAGCTGACGATACCACAATAAAATAATGCAAGTGATACCTTGAAATGATTCAAAGCAAGAATATGACCGAAGGGCTTGAAAAGCGTGATCAAATCGTCGCGCGTCACAGGTGCACTGTTCAAACGCCCAATGAAGACGCGAGATCTGAACATTGTGCATGCAGTTGTTTAAATAAGAAATCAATCTGGTAAGTCCCACCTGACCATTACCGGATCCTTTGAGTTAGTGTCAAAGCTAACATCGGGGTATACATTGGAAGGAACGGTACTAAAAAAGTGTTCAAGCAAAATCAAAGGTTGACTGATAAATTACCTTGCCAACATGGAGATATGCGTCGTGCTGCTGACTTCAGCTGGTCGTTGTTCTCCGTACACAGACGGTATAGCTGTTCCAGGTGCTACCTGTGGTACTATTCCATATGGTTGGACCTGAGGACCACCGACCGCTACCTGTGCTATACCCGCTCCATACGGTTGAGTCTGAAGACCATCGACCCCAGAAGCATAAGCGTAAGGTTCTAAATACACAAATTACAAAAGTGTACGATGCTTGTAAGCAACAGAATTCACCTTGCACTGCAGGTACGGAACCAGGGACCGCTTGCGTGGCATAGACGCCGTAATTCATGCTAAATTACGGCAGGTGTAAGAATACCAACGCTTTTTGAGTTTGAAAAATATAAAGAGTATGGAAATCTTTGATCTGACAATGAGTAGCGGGCACAGAAGATAGTATAGCTAAGGCAAAGTGCGCTACATGTTAGTACTTGCACAAAGCACTGCAATTTGCCCCATTTAATAAGGAGAATGATTAGGAGACAGATATGGTTCGCACAACATTGAGAGCATTGTAAAAAATGAAGCCTAGTCTCAAACAAAGGTGGATGCTTTGAGATTTAGTACAGACAATAGTAGACAGATTCGAGTGTGAATCCGGTGTTCTTAAGCAAGCGCATACTTGCATACTCGCATACATTTCAAATAGACGAGATTTGACCAGTAAAGTGGATAAGTGTAAGTGCGCCGCTCCAAATCTGTGTTGAGATTTTGATGCAGTACAACAACTAGGTGATAGTTAAGTAAGCTTTGCTTTACTTAGCTAAGTAATGCCCAAGTCCCACCTTAAGAGGAAAGATGTATTCCAAAGCAAGAAAACTGCTCAAGAAAGAGGATGCTGCTGGGGTCAGCACGCCCATCAACTTGGATGGTTTGGTGATAACAAGCCAATAACAGGATTCGAAATAACTGAATATCGAAAATGTGTTTTCAAAATAAAATACAAGTTTTCGAAATTTCTAGTTATTACTGGTTATGGACGCGTTACATTCCGGCCAGTTGATAGGCGTGCCGACCCCAGCAGCATTCTCCTTTGCGTTCTGCGCAGCGGGATTATGGGTTGGGCCTCACTACTGCACAGCACCGGAATCTCACCATCCTCAAATTTAGGTGGACGGTGTTAAAAGGACCAGGCGAAAATTTGACTGAATTTTGCCAATTTCTGTCCAGCAGGGATCTCATGTCGAACATGTCTCATATTAGGGGAACCGTTTTATGAGCGCCCTTTTCGCATAAGATTTTATGATCCTAAATCCCCAAAAATATGGAGTGAGAGCACTGCAAAAGGTGGATGCGCTAGAGGCACGAACGCTCATAAAGTGGGTGGTTTGCAAAGCTACTGCAGACCTTTAAAGGCAGCATCCAGGCAGATCTGGACCTATGGGGCTTTTACGTGGAAAGTACTTTTGGGGCCCTAACTAAGGCACTGCCCAAGCGGCAGCTCAGGTAGTGCTCTAATGGCTGAGATATTCCCCTCGAAACTGGCCCCCGCGAACATATTCGCATGGATTCATGGCAATTTCGCGCCAGGATCCACGCTTTGCGCCATGAATCCATGCGAAACACGGTCGCGGGATCCAGTTTCGAGGGGACTATCTCAGCCGTTAGAGCACTACCTGCGCTGCCGCTTGAGCAGTGCCTTAGTTAGGATCTCAAAAGTACTTTCCACGTAAAAGCCCCATAGGTCCAGATCTGCCTGGACGCTGCCTTTAAACACGCTTCCATATTCCTGCTTCCCTTTCTGGAGCACTGCTTTTCCGCCATCGCTACAGAAAACACGCCATAACTTCAAACCTATTATTACATCTGGAATGCCTAGATCGAAGCTACCTTGTTTTCACGATGAAAGACGTCACTTATTATTCTGAGGCCCTCTTCAGAATGAGGTCGGATCCCACATCTATAAGGAAGGGATTCGTGCTCTGCAGGATAAAGACACCCCTTCCCAAGCACAATGTTGCAAATGGTTCCTGTCAAGACAGTGTTCTTCAAAGCAATGTTGACTATTGCCAACATAATGAAAAGTATTGTCATACGTGCCAAAAACATTAACGGCGTGATTGTGCCTCATCGAGAAACTAAGAACACATTGACCAGAGATGGTTACGCTCAAAAGCTCTGGAGATAAGAGACCGACTTATTTCCGTTATACACGATGCGAGGTTAAGTAGAAAGCCTACATCCAAAAAAAAAAGAAAAATGCCGGGCGTTGCTGAAAAACTGACGTGGGACGGCAAAGTTTGTGCAGCACGCGCTATTGCACATTTCTCCACGCAATCCAACACCACCACTAATTCAACGTGTGTTTCAATAGTGCACCCTCATCTTCTCTTATTTCTTCGCTCTTCCGTTCAACCAGTCGCAGGTCGCGTAAATAAATTGTAGTGTCTCATTTCTTCTGGTTTGCGACGCTGATGTTTGTGGTTTCAGATTGTTTATGGATCTCACATTAATAGCCAGGGTCAGAGATGGTCTGATCTTGGCCACTTCTATCGAAGGTAGTGATGGGGTAAGTTTTTATAGGTGATTTTTAGAACTTCATGATAAAAAGTATGTCGAGCATCTTTTTTCAGGGTGATACGAATCTTGTCAAGTACTCTAACCAAGCGAAAATGCTGTTTAAGAAACTTCACAATGCACCGCAAATGCAGTCGATCGAAAGCGGGCCTTACATGTTTCAGTAAGTTCCAGTGATTTACCATTCCATACGTTTCCGGTCTTTTACTGGTTTTTCCTTTTTCAAAATAAAGATGCAAGGTTACTCTGTTCAAGACTCTTTAGAGCGATCGCTTTCATCTCCACTTTGACAACCAAATTATAATATCTTACATTTTGAAAGAGCATTCGTCCATGATTCTATATCTTTGTTATCAAGAGGGCCCCCTCGAGCTGACTAACTCAAGAGCTACTCTGCAAGTCTGCCTTGTATAATATTGCGCAAAATTCACTCCTTTTTCATTCGACGCATCCATCTGGTTTGAGCTCATGCTGAGTCGAGGGGATTTGATGAGGGAGAGGGTGAAGGATGAAAATTGTATGTAGTGCTAGTGACCGACTGCAAAGAGTCTCAACTGTGTCGTCACCGAAAGCGTTGCGCTAATCACTGTTATCACTAAATACCCTGGCCTTTTTTGGTACTTTCTTAAACTTCCAATTTTCCAACTAATTTCTTTGTTTTACCTGTGGTTTATTCTTGCACACCATGTCCTAGTAGCCGACATATAAATTGGGAAATTGTCTTCCAAAGCATGAAGCGCTAGCGATGGCACCATTTCATCTTTCAAAAATCACTTAGCGATCGGCCACAGGTTGTCGGCAACGGATACCGCGCTTCGAGGTAGTTAGAAAGCGCATAACACGCTGAGGGTACCTATGGGCTCACAACGACTGGCAACACCTCGGCAACGGGACCGGTCATATTATTCCTGTGATTCCTGCAATTCCTGTTATTCCTGCGGGTCCCATAGCAATGTATATTGCGAAAAAGCAATGTATACTGAATTTCGCAGAGCGTTCCGTAGTGCGGCAAATCAAATCTAGGAATCACAAGACTTGCAGGAATTACAGGAGTCGCAGGAATCATCTCCTGGAATAGTATGGGTGGTCCCAACCATTGCTGGCAAGCTATGGCCTTCCCTTAGCCTAGTTTATCCGCTGAGAACGAAATCGCCGCGAAAACTTACGAATCGTGGCTCACCTGATAAAAATAATACGATAAATAAATATATAATAAGATAATATAATAATTTACGTCTTACCGAATTTTATCGTCTAACTGTTCTTCATTGAGAAAGCCATGAGTTCTGATTTTGAAATATATGAGTGTTGCCCCTCTCGCGACAAAATCCGCAAGAACTCCCTTCCGGCTGATATCCAACTACATCGTGACCGCCTTGCTTACGGGACCGGCCATACTATTCCAGAAGGTGATTTCTGCGATTCCTATATTCTGCCGTTTCTGTGATTCCCCAACTTCCGATGTGCCGCACTACGGAGCGCTTTGCGAATTTTAAAATACAGTTTTTCTTGCAGTATAAATTGTTACGGGACCCGCAGGAATCACAGGAATTGCAAGAATCTCAGAAATAGTATGGCCGGTCCCGTTGCCGAGGTGTTGCCGGTCGTTGTGACCCCATAGTACTCTCAGCGTGCTATGCGTTCTCTAACCACCTCGCAAGCTCGGTATTCGTTGCCGACAATCTATGGCCGATTGCTAAATTATTTTTGAAAGATGAAATGGTGCAGTGGCCGTATTCATCAACGAACCCTGAGGGTTAAGCTAAACCTCTAGGGTTAGTTTAACCCTCAGGGTTCATTGGCCGTATTCATCAACTATAGGCTAGGGTTTACCATGGAACGCGATCTACCCGTATCGATCAACAAACCTGTGGCTGTATTCATCAACCCTGAGGGTTAAACTAACCCTGGAGGGTTAAGGCGTCAGTCACGCGTGCGCTGTGCAAACTCACATCGCAGAATGCCTAAGTACGGGCTAAATTCACTTTATACTTCTATTCTTTCACTGATAGTAGTATAGTCAAAGAATAAGCTTCTAACACTAGTTTTTATAATACATCTCTAGCATACTTGTGCAGCATCGAATCTTACAGCGTGAGTTTAGTTTCCGTGAGTTTAGTTTCATGTGTGCAATTGTGCAGTGTAAGTTCTACTTTTGCGCACGTTTTATACCAGGCTTGTGCTACTCCTTTAGGGGTCAATGCGTGTTATTATAAAGATGTTCTTCTGTTTTGGCACTTGTCAGAGTGCAATGCCATTTTTCCTCGTCGCATTCATTTGTCACCAAAGCTAGAATTCTTTTTCTCGCAAAGTCAGTGTTTCATGTCCTTCGTATATGAACATAAAACGAAGTCGAAACTAAATACTATAACAACAACCAATACTAAATGCCACAATACTCATTGATCGTTTCCATAAACTGTTAGATACGAGTAAACGTTTGTATGAAGTGTCAGGGTAGAGTTAACCTTGCTCTGAGCTAGGGTTAAATTAACCCTGATGATTCACGTAAGTTTAACCCTCCAGGGTTAGTTTAACCCTCACGGTTCGTTGATGAATACGGGTTAATCGCTTTCGGGGTAAAATTAACCCTCAAGGTTAGATTCAACCCTCAGGGTTAAGCGTACCCTGTGTTTCATGAATACGGGTTAAACGCTTTCCAGGGTTAAACTAACCCTCCAGGGTTAGTTTAACCCTCGGGGTTCGTTGATGAATACGGCCACAGGAATGACAGGAATCACAAGAATAGTATGGCCGGTCCCTACGAGTGGCTGTCCGAAAGGGTGAAGGAATGATTTTGCAGAAGTTCATGCTATTGAAACTGTATACATGTGCAAATGCTCATCACTTTTGCACTAACTTACCAATGTTCCCCTAGAAAGCTGACATATATTAGGTTGGAAACTAAGTTTTGCAACTGGTCTCATAACTTCCCTCTCACTCAACACGGCGCACTCAAATTTTGCCACTGCGTTGGCTCTTACGTAAGCTACAAGCGCAGCTGCTGTCCTACCAAATTCTGACGTCGCAGTGAGGGTTACGGTAGGTGCATGGTATAAAGGGGAAAAATTCAAAGTTTGACGGATTTGGCTGAAACTTGGTAAAGGGGTGTCATCCGACATGCTGATCACGAAAACGATATTGAAATTGCGTGATAAGGGCTTTTTTGTAGGATTACGTAAGTGTACGATATGGGGTCTCACCCTAAGCAAGGAAAAAGGCGTTGATTCAACAAATGAATGTGATATTCGCGTTTGGCAGGTCAAATAACCTTACTATGTAAAGTTTCGGCGGAATTTGAACTTCGGACTCTTTATTCATTGACGGTCGTCCCCAGCAGCTCTTGCGTACATCGACTCGTTCGAGTTTATGAGGACGCCAAATCTCGACATGCTCCTAAATTTTGTTTCTTTCTTACTAGGCCAAAGGAGTCAACCTCCAGCAGTAATTTATAGACGAATCCGGATTACTGCGCATAGTCTAGGCTGCCAAAGGCTTCATTTTAGCTTGAAGCCCCAAAAATTCTCAGATTTCACTAGTTTTCGAAAAACGCGCAAAACTTTTCTATTTCGCGTTCAAAATTTGGACAATTTGTGCTCACTTGTAGCTCACATTGCCTTCTACATAATGCCAAAGTTTGAGTGCGCCATATCCAAAGAGAGTGAAGTTATGAAACCAGTTGCAAAACTTAGTTTCCAGCCTAATATTAATCAGCGCGTAGACGTATGCTACATTTTTCTCGCAATTACCACATAGCGAAAGGTAGGATTATGCATATTCGTCTTATCTCATTCTGCAAGTGAGGAATATATGACTTTTGGTCACTGCATGCGCCAAACAACACATACACTTTGTGCATAATTTGTGGAAGCTTCAGTATATTTATTGAACGTATGCAGAGGATTTTATTTTGAAGTGAGGTGCACCTTGCTGCATTTGGTGTTTGTAGTAACTAGATTTGACCTCACTCAGGCAAAACTCGCTTATTTAGCGTCGAATCGCAACAACTGTCCTTGACATCTTGTACCCCTTTGTTCAGTATCAGTGGTGCTTTCAGCTACGTCATAAAGGATGCAATATGCTGTTTGTGTTTGTGTCAACACTCATTTCCTCGAAAGCTTGCCTTCGCTTATCTAGAGGACGTCGCTCAGGAATTTCTTAACCAGAATGCCACGAGGATTGACCAAGTCGTTAGGCCTTATCATTTCTTGGAATTTGGTGAGTTATTACGATATTGGATATTTTTAATCAGTCAAAACTCCGCCTCCAAATATGCTGTTAGCTGTTGAAAATTGTTCTTAAAAGAGTTATTGACTCTCTTCTGTTCGAAATTTACTGTTTTGGACTCTTACACTTTAGTTAGTATAATGTCAGGATCTGAAAACCTTTTTAGACCAATATATTCAACAAGCGAAGAAGAAATATGCAGATAGAAGCAGATATGCGATGTCTGCAGTATCGAATGAGTTGCAGGATGTTGCACGTATCATGGTCAGCAATATCGAGGACGTCATTCATAGGGGCGAAGCCTTGAATAGTAGGTAATAATGCCTTGCTTAGCCAAATCTCAACTGTTGCTTTAGTTCTTGAAGCAAAAGCATCAGATCTTTCTGGTATTAGCAAGAAATACAGAGAGGACGCCAAAGCTTTGAATAGAAGGTTCGGTTTTTAATGCACTCAGCACTATATCATGGAGCAGCCATTTTTTCAGGTCCATCTTCTTCAAAATAGCCGTTTCTTTGGGCATATTCGGAGTTATTCTGCTTATTGGGCGATTTATCATTTTCTAATCATCAAATCTCGCTTCTAAGACTTTCGTTTGGATCAAGGTCAACGTAAGCGGGACAAAAGTCTCGACGTATGCGATTTACATGCCGGCAATCTTCTTTATCGTACTGGTCAACAGAGTTTCCATCATCCATTGAGCCAATATTGCATGATATATTTTTTTTTTCGTTTTGGTTATTGTTCAACTGTGATAAGTAAGTAAGTAATGAAGCGTATTCATGCTTATTTGCATTTTGTTTCTGGCGTTCTCCGTTGAAAATGTTTACATCCATGTGAATGCAAAAAGTTATGATTTTTTTTTTTGAGGTAGGTTGATGGGGTTGATACGGCCGACATCAAGGTTGATGTCGAAAATATTTCAAACTTCGTTAAGGTGAGTTTCATGTGGTTGGAGTGCTCCTTCTTCTAACCCTTCAAGTGTTGAGTGATCTCGTGCGGTCGAACTAAATTTGCATCATTGCCTATTTACTTGACTTTAGAAGTAGACTCGCTCTTGCGATGGCTTCGCCTCTGTTCTTAATAATGAGTTGCGGTAGAGAAAATTAGTGACAAAGTCCAGACAATGTTTACAAAGTATCATGTTGTCCAGTTGACAGCATACAAAGCTGCTGTCGCAAATTGCTGCTTTGTCCTTGCTCGTATAAAGCACAAACAGTTTATATACTCTCCACAGGTGAGTTCAGAATGACCTCAACCAGGATTGCTTCCTTCCACGTTCATCTGAAATGATGCGAAAATGCTTGTTCTTGTTCAATCATCCTTGAAAGCAACGCCCGTACAAAAGTCAACTGAAGTCTTCTACCTGGGCTTATCCTCCTCGCAGATTGCGAAAATGTAGCTTGGAGAACGTAAAACAGTCAAACACGGGCCATTCCGAGGCTCTTACAGTTTGTTACAATTCGGCTAGGCGAAACATTTGACACGTGGAGCAGCGCTTCCGCATCGCGGGAGGCTTTGCGAGCGCGCGGCGCTGGCATTTTGCCACACAAAGACAGATGAATGAATAGGTAGACATATGTAGGTTCTTATATGACACTATTTGATATACTGTAGCTGCGAAACGGTGCGAACCGCAAAGCTCGCCTAGATGGGTTAAAACTTATTGTTGAGTTGGACTTGTGCCGGCGTAGGGGAACGAAGGTCGCTATATGGGCCGCCTCCGCGGACTACTGGTCCTAACACGATGCCCAACAGTACGACGAAAGGTGGAGGTGGTGCGTAATTGAGGTATAGGCCATCCGCGCACGGCGTGGAGAGTGCGCAAGGTGTGTATTGCACGTTACTCCTCTTTCCTCGTGCACTCTCTCCGCCTGTTTCTCTGCGCTTCTTCCAGTCGTGAACTGTCTTCAATGTACGCAACAGCGTTGCTCTCCGTGCGCAGCGCGGACGGCCTATATTCGTTCCTCTACCTGAGTAATTCGAAAATATGGCACAAAATGCCCACTTACGGGTATACTGAGGCCAGTTGGCCTACCTCGATGTCACCAGACATCACTATCAAAAAACGATCGTGCGCGGAACGAGATACGGAAAGGATCGGGAATGGTGCGAAGGGCGACGATTTCAAATTTTGTGCCTTTTTACAGAATTTGGATGCCAAGGTTACATGGCGGCATAGTTAAACGGTAGGCTGGGGGGGGGGGGGAGGAGGAGGGTAGGAGACACATGACTCGATGGCGCAGCAAAATTCTGAAGGAGTTAAAGGGATTTTACAGTGTATCCTGTGCGTAATGTCGTCTTCCGCGTGTCTCTTCCCCCCCCCCCTCGCCACCTCCACGGATCAAATAGCAATTGTTGATTTCCCAGAATTGTTCCCATGGGTACAAGTGGCTGCCTTTCAATCGTTTTAAAACGTCAACTCCAGCGACATTAAGGCGTTTATTCGAAGTTGATATGTTAGAATGATCGAAAAACAGCCACGTTGATGGTTCACATGGGGGCAATTGTGGGGGATGCACCATAGTTATTAAGGGATCCGTCATACTTCGCCGAAAAAAGCCCAAAGAAGCCCGAAAAAACCCGAAAAAGCCCAAAAGCGCCAGAAAGAGCCGGAACACTTCTCGCACGTTTTGGCGCTAAGGCATGTGTGACTTCGCAATCAAGCCTTTTTGTCATTTTCTGTCGTTCGCATGATAAGATAATGTCAGAATTCTACCGAAAGTTCGTTTCTACATTCCGGCTCTTTCTGGCGCTTTCGGGCTTTTTTTGGGCTTTTTCGACGATGTATGACGGGTCCCTAACCATTCTGAGTTAGGATACTCGAGAACGCTTTGCCACGTGTCATGAACAAGTTGAAACTCGTGCCTCGACTCTTGTTAGTACTTGGAATCGTGTTCGAACTCGTTATCAAACGTGTGCACTCCTGCCTATCAGCTCCCTATAAATGGTGTGGGCGGGGCGCGCTCGCCGCGACCATTTTCTCATCTGTGTCGAGACCGTGGAGTTCACGCAGCTGATGACGCAGTCTTGCACCATTTTTTTTCTTGTGCGGCGAAGTTTTTTTTTTCGAGTTGATACGCTTTCTCGTTTGAGATACCACATCAAATGTTTGCAGTATATAAGTGTGTCGTACTCCTGGCACCTGCGAAAAGTTTGCTTTGAAATCTGGCCCTGCACAATTCTTACGGCTTTTTCTGTGCGAAAATTGAGCATGATCTCGCTGTAAAAAATCTATCCGGAGTGAATCTGGGAACATCTCCACAATTAAACTTTTTAAGCTAGAAAACTACATTTGTATCGCATCGTTATTTGTACAAAAGAGGTTGCAGGCAGATGAGTAGTGTTCGCGAATTTGATTACCTCGTTATCGGAGGTGGTTCGGGAGGAATCGCTTCAGCACGTCGTGCACGAGAATTTGGAGTTTCGGTAGGCCTCATCGAAAAGGGAAGGCTCGGAGGAACATGTGTGAGTTGCATGCTTTGCTTCAGTGTTGCTTGTTCGTTTGTTATTAGCAACCCCCTATTTATAATATTCCAGTCTCTACAAGCTGCTAATATGTCTTCTTTTAGGTCAATGTTGGATGTGTGCCCAAAAAAGTGATGTTCAACTGCTCGATGCATGCAGATTTCATCCGCGATCATGCTGATTATGGTTTCGATGTCACCGTCAATAAATTTGACTGGAGGTATCGATTTAGCCGTTCTGTTTCACGGATAAAGTACGAAATTCATTTAGCGTCATCAAAAAATCCCGAGACGAGTACATCCGCCGGTTGAATGGTATTTATGAAAGTAATCTGAACGGTGTGAGTGCTATCGTACCTTTCAAAATTTGTCAGACGTTGTTTTCTTTTCAACACCCGTTATTCTTTTGTTTTTTATCATTCTGCAAGTTTAGTCAAAGGTGGAGGTTATACGAGGGCAAGCTGCTTTTGAAGAGGACGGCACAGTTGCTGTGGACGGTCAGAAGTACAAGGGGAAGAACACGCTCATTGCCGTTGGGGGTACGCCACTTATCAGTCCCTAAGCATCCCATCTGTATTTTTTAGGTTTCCCGACCATCCCCGATCTTCCTGGCGCGGAATATGGTACTGACAGCGATGGCTTTTTCGAACTGGACCACCTGCCGAAGTTCGTGATTGGAGGACTCTGGAAATGTAAAGATTGAGGTTCTAAACATGATAAATTCTATTCTAGGAAGAGCGTTGTTGTTGGCGCCGGCTACATAGCAGTTGAGCTTGCAGGAGTATTGGGAAATCTCGGATCTGATACACATCTTCTAATAAGATACGATAATGTGCGATTTAATGCCATACCTTTCTCTAGTGTTGTTTTCCTAAACAAAAAACTTCAGGTGCTGCGTACTTTTGATGATACGCTTAGCGTTGGTTTGACTGAGGCGATGGACAAAGGACCTGTTACTATTCATAAAAAAACTTTAGTAAGTACTTTGCCTTATACTTTTATTGACTACTATCTTATGTAAAGGAATCGTAGGATTTATGTACGCACATTCTATTCTTATAGTCGATTAACCCTTGTATATTCAGGTCGATAGAGTAGAAAAACGCCAAGATGGCCTTTTGACCATCAAGACCAATACTGGAATCATTGATGAAGTAGAAACCTTAATTTGGGCAGTTGGGCGAACTCCACACACTGCAGATTTGCATCTCGACAAAGTTTGTTTCATCTTTACATTTCGCCCTCTACATACGAGTCTATTTAGGTTGGCGTAAAAACCGACGAAAAAGGAAATGTAATTGTTGATAAGTATCAGAATACGTCCAATCCTAGTATACAATGTATAGGTGATGCTGCTGGAAAGTTTCTGCTTACACCAGGTAATACAGTTAGATTGAACTGCTTTAGGCTTGATGGATATGTATTTTTGCATGACGATTGAAGTATCCAGTTTCCAGTTTTGCACATTTAAAATATTGCTCATAAATTCTTCGAAGATTAGTGGAAGTGTAAGCCGCTTGGTTCCAGTTGCCATTGCTGCTGGTCGCCGTCTTTCTCATCGTTTATTCAACAATGAAACGTCAAACTATCTACCTTATGAGAATATTGCCACCGTAGTATTCAGCCATCCAACCTTAGGAACTGTAGGGCTCACGGAAGGTCTGTAATTTCTTTAAGTTACTGCAATTTCAATGCATTTTTTAGCCGAAGCAATCAAAAAGTATGGAAAAGATCAGATAATGTTGTATAAGTCAAAATTCAATCCTATGTATCATGCTGTTACGAAGCATAAGGAGTCTTGCATCATGAAGTTAGTCTGCGCCGGACCTGAAGAGAAGGTTTGTTTGTCCTCTGACATTTATTTTTCGTTTTTTTTCTATTTCTATTTGCTCTCGTCCCCTTTGAGCCACTTGTCTCTCATTCAATTGGTGATTTTCCTACTTCACGCTGCATCCGTTGACTTATTATCTTCATCGGCAATTGCTGAAATCTCATTTTTTTTGGCAAACTGCAGTGTTTTATCATCCACTTTTTGATATATTAGTTATTTCGTGAGAACTTAGCAGTCGTATGCCAATTAGCAGTTACACTCACCCAGGTATTGTGGTCTCAAAAATATTTGGACATTGTTTTAGTGTGAATTACTCCTTTGCTTGATAGCCGGTTGTGGAGATTGTTTTGTAAAGTTGACTTCAAGTTAGATCCGTACAGGACGAACCCTAGGTTGCTATTTGTTATTACGGTGGGAACATTGAACAGGATTTCGATTCAATTCATGCCACGGAAACAGTGCCAAACAAACCAGGAACTCTCACATTAGGCTGATCAAAGTTGCTACCCCAAATGTGAAATTCGTACCATACGGTAATGCTTCATTTATCAGTCATGACAATATACTGTACGATCGTCTCCACGATTCGTGTGGAGGTGTATTGCAGACTTTGCCTGATAACACAGGCACACTCGTTGAACCTCTACGTCATACTATTGTTTTTTGTACTCTCTCGCTATCAAAAACCGCCACGCTTTGAGTTGGCAAAACCCCGCTTCTACACGAATCGTGGAGCTGATGATAACTATTGTTTTCTCAATATTCTCCAGAAATGTAAGAATATCATTTAGAAAGGTTCACATGTTTGTACAAGTTAGGTAAAGATATCAACGTACAAGAAAACAACGCTGTACAACCTACAACCCTTCTAGATTCTGAATTTTTTTCTCTGAAACGACAGTCAATGCACGATTCTGTATGCTTGAATTTCTTACCGTAATCCTACAGTAGCTTTGCGATGCAAGCACTCGGCAGACCTTTTTGCTCATCTTCTGTCGCTTTACAAAAAAATATATAAGATGCAGTGAGTTCAAAGCTAAAAATGTGAGAATAGAACATCAACTGGTTCAATGAATGGAAATTCCTGGCCATCAGTTTATTCGTTTAGGTTGTCGGCGTGCACGTTCTCGGGGCTGGAGCTGACGAAATGATGCAGGGATTTGCAGTCGCAGTGAATATGGGTGCAACAAAAGCCCAGTTCGATGACTGTGTAGCTATCCATCCTACTAGTGCAGAAGAACTTGTTACAATGAGAGGAGGCAAACGACCAGAATAGGCGCTGGCGCCAAAAATTACCCATCTCGGTTGTCAGGTTGTTATGAGTTTTACATATTCTGTATAAGCATTTCCAACTCAGGAATTGTTCAGGAGTGAGACATAAATTATTGAAAATTTTATGGGTTTTGATTGTTTGACATTACAGTTGAGCATACAATAATAACTGTTATACACAATCGGATCGTTGTGGTTCAAGGCAGCTCTAATAAGTGAATCAGTCTTGTTTCAATTTTTAAGGTAATTCATCTCCATATAGCAGCTGGTTCAGTAACTTCTCAAATTGGTAGTGTATTGCCGAGCAGCGGGTAATAATCGGGTACCTAGCCAGCAGCTATGAAAAATGCAGTTCCTGCATTGGTGTACATCAAATTTCTCTATGGTGGACTTCCGCTCTATCTAAACTGTCATTTTATGGTTGCAAATAAGATCAAATGTGAAACAACAATTGTACCTGGTCAGCCAATTTCGAGAAGCATGCAGGGTCCTTCAGAGTTATTGCCCCTGGCACATTTTTTCCTGCGTGGATACCGAAACCCCTAAAATTGAATCTGTTAAATAAACGAGATCAGAAAATCTCAATGTCTCACCCTATGCAGTTGCGTTCTGGAATATTTGTGTAGAAGTCCCAGTATCCATTTCCGGTGGCCTTCCGCCGGTAAAGATTGAACCATGAATGATCATTTCGGATGGTTTGCACTCCGATTCGATACCTGAAGTGCATTAAAACAAAGTCAAAAAGCAGCAGTAAGTGTTGTTTTTACGGTCAGGAAGAAATTGGATGGAAGGGGAGGGGGAGAATAGCTAATTGTAAAGTATTTCTTTGAGTTAATGAAAGGCAAGTCACAATCATTGAATGAACTTGTGGTACATCACTGAATCGAGATTTTGCAAGACTTTTTAGCACTTAATCCTATTGTCGTAATGACTTTTGTCTTTCCAATCGATAGTCATGACAGTCTAATTGTCGAAGTTTATAGGATTTCACTGAGAAACGCATCTTCGTTAGAGTCTCGGAAAGACAAAAGTCTGAAAAAAAAGAAGCTATTTTGATCGCTCAAAAATCTCCATCGAAAGAGTCGAAGGCAATCGCAGCAACATAATAGGTTGAACCGAAAGTTCTGTCGCACCATTTTCAAAAAATCATAACTTCTTTGCGTCATAATGATTTTGCGCAGCTTAAATTTTATTAGAAAGAATAAAGCATGTAGTTTCCAACACTCCCCTGGGAACTTCCCAACATGCTCGGGTGACAGAGATAAAAATGTCGGAATTTTTAAGCAAGAATTCTAAAAATTCAGAAACAGTGCGATAAAATCCAGAAAAGCCATTATCCTAATTTTTCTTACATTTGATTACTATCTGAGTCAAGTTTGTGCTGATCGAAGTCTTCTTTTAAAAGTTATGAATTTTTGAAAAAAAAATGCCAAAAAGTCAATTTCTTAAGAATTTTTAGAAAATTGATTTTTCGGCATTATTTTTCAAAAAATCATAACTTTTGAAAGAAGGGCTCGATCAGCACAAACTTGACTTAGATAGTAATCAAATGTAAGAAAAATTAGGACAATGGCTTTTCTGGTATCGCACTGTTTCTGAATTTCTAGAATTCTTGCTTAAAAATTCCGAATTTCGGATGATCTCGCTCTTTCAATTTTATCTCTGCAACCTGAGCACCTTGGAAACTCCTCAGGGAGCTTTTAAAAACTACTTGCTTTACGCTTTCAGACAAAATTTGAGTTGCGCAAAATCCTTGTGAGGCAAAGAAGTTATGATTTTTTGAAAATGGTGCGACAGAACTTTCGGTTCAACCTAATACATTTGGAGATACCCTTGGACGAAAAGTCACAAAACAGGATATCATGGAAGGAATTCAAGTAAAAGAAGTTCAGCAGAAAGCAGTATGTTGTAAAGTGTGTGGTTCTACTGGGCTATGTCAGTAGATAAGCTTGCTATTTTTCTCCTAGGTTTAGAAAATAGGCAAGATTAACCCAAGATTAAAAAAAGCTTTGATGGACAAATGAGATTTCCAATGAGGCAAAAAAGTGGATATGCCTGAAAACGTTCAAAAAAACACTTCCATTCTTTGAGAATAGAATACATTCGCTCAATATTAGAATCGCAGAAACCTTCTATGATACTTCCAGAGTATTGTGAATAGGCTTGTTGCTATCTATGGGTAGTTCACAATTTAAAAACTTTTCCAAGTCATTGATCTTCAACCTGTTACAGTGACGGCAGAGAAAGGTGAGGGAGGTTCACGAAAGTGCTCTACGCGGGTCATATTTACGTAAATAATCAGTTTATCTTTGTTTACAAAACTAAGAAGCTGAACATAAAATTTTCTGAAGGGGCGACACACTTCGAAAAATTCCGACTCTTTCCCTTTCCCCCTCCCCTCCCCTCTCCTCCCCTCTGGGTTAAACTGTACACACAAGATAGAATAAAAAGTGAAATGTTTTTTTTTCAAAGGTAAGATAAGACATCTTTTCAAGACAAGATATAAGACAAGATTTGCATGCAATACTTTGAGAATGGCAAGCAAAAAAGGAAGATCGGAACTTTGAAACTAACCATCCTCGCGGCAGCTTAACATCCAAACCTTCCTTCTCTAAATCGGCGTTTGGAGGAATTTGTGTGGCGCATGTCACTATTCTAGAGAACGGTCGATGTTAAAAATTTTTGAAATGACAAATTTAAACGCCTACACTTACCCACATGTGATCTCATTTGTTTCTCTGTAATATGTGCAGTACACATTCCTGAAAATATGACCAATGATTGAGAGAGATCCGGATTTATGCGATGTGCTTGAAAAATTGCGACGAACTTAGCATATCCAAAAATTCTAATTTAACCCATCAACCAGCCTAACTGTTTGATAGGCGCGGTTATTTACGAGACTTTGATTTTCAAAAATGTGGCTGAATATCACATTTTTCCTCGGATTAGGTGTGAGTAGCAGTGTTTTCAAAAAATGGTAGTGAAGTGTAAATATGTTTGAGACAAACCATAATGTGTAGACTTTTGCTTCAAAAGTGCAATCGACCAAGCTAATCGCAAACTTTTTTGCAGCACTTATTTAACCTACTGCGCTTAATTTAGTAATTTCTGCCATCTCTATTGAGACTTGTAAATTCATTTCTTCGCATAAGATTCTGCTAGTGGTAAATCGCAAAACTTCGCTAATTTTGTTTCGGTTTTATGCATGGTTTTGGATTTTTCTCAAACATATGGTGTATAATTTTTTCCAAGACCTATGTAAAAAATGTCACTTGCAATCTCATGTCCGCTCCTCTCCTTCCCTTAAAGCTCTCCCCGCGCTTACAAATCCTTCACTGAGAAACGTGCTGCACAAGTTCCGCCAAGTTTATGGTAGAATAGGTCGCACAATATCAAAAAATTTAATCTATAGAATGATGGGAAATGCAAGCTGTTCACAGTGATCGTCGAATGATATGGAATCAAATATGAAATTGGGGGTCACAATCGCCTTCATATCGGTGTACGATACCATTATTATGAATAATTCTTATAATTTTAATAATCATTTTTCGTTGTGCTATGTGAATATGATAGTGACTTTCACGCCATTGGCCTGCTCCACTGCAAATCTCAAAAGTGATGCGACCGCACATATGGACTGCTGAGTTGAGGACCATTGTATCAGTATACGCAGCGAGGGGAATCAAATATTTCTTGAAAAATCATGAACATGAAAACCAAAAAATTTGGTTCGTATTCTCGTAGGCGATTATCCTACAATCGGCCTTGACTAGGGTTGCAAATCAGCTGGGGGGGGGGGGGGGAAGTGAGGGAAGTAGAGCGACACACGTTTGAGCGTACTGATCGTGAGTGAGAAAGCTTGAATGTTGTTGCATCAGAATGGGCTAAAAAATTCCTTTTTGGAATTGCATCAATAAGCAACGAAAAAAAACTCATGTTTGGATTTATCGAAGATCGAAATCGCAAACTTACTCAGCATTGGCGAAGAAGTGAAGAACCCCGATTGTGAAAAAAAGTCGAAACGCATTGCGATACGGCGACGACGCCATTCAGCGATACAAATCGACGTCGACGCGACGAGGTGAACAAGGCCGCCCTCGCAGTGATGAGTGTTCCCTCGCCGAGGATGGAGGCCAATTTTGGTCGCGCGTATTCCATAACAAACTCCAATAATACTCTGAAAGAAACTTTAGCACTTTTTTGTAGTATGCGAGGTGTCCCAAAAAAGTGCATATTTTTTGATCAATAAATTTTTTGCTTCAACGTCTTTTCCCGATCTTCAAGTACCATTTTGTAGTGCTCGCTTCAACCTACAAGGTAAAAATGGTTAGTCGAGGTGGCATTCCAAGTTGTAATGTATGCCGCCTTAGGGGCCCCGTCCACTAACTTAGGGGTCTTGTGCTTCTGGCAGATTACATCAGTAGGACCCCGTATAAAGCCAATGAAGCCAATGCCCAGGTCAAGGCGTGTCGCTTCGGAAGCGAAAAAATCGGAATAGCTAAGAGGCATGAGGACCCCAAGTTGGCATTCCGGGCAACCGGCTTGCGGGTTCTCCAGAGCGGGTATTGTCGTTATTTTCGCTGACTCTCTATTTCATATTTGGAATCAGGAACATGAGAAGGCCCAGAAACAACCAAAACATTGAAGTCAAGGATCTGGGCGGAGGTGACCTTGAGGAGCATGGAATCACTCCAGATCTCGTTCCTTCTTTATCTGCGGACGGCTTTTGGGCGAGAGTTATGAAGCTTCTTAGAGCAAAAATTTGAATTCATAATTAGTACAAAATGAATTGCTAACCCACTCCTAGCGTTGGATGAAGTAACGGCGAGCGGTATATTTGAATTAAAAATGTATTACACATAACAGTAGCAGTTAGCAATGCTCCATTCATGACCAAGGAAAATGTTAAGACTGAATTTATTTTGGCTGAGGATTTTATATCAAAAAAATTCTTGTGACTTCTTAAGCACAAATCCGCAGCATATGAGAAAGGCAAATTTGGCATCACCGTTTCTTGCACTTCAAAAAAGCATACATCTCATCTCATAGCCTGCTTCAAAAAAACCTCCTTTCATTGTTTAGACTTACAGCTTGGAGCGAATCATTGATGTCTCTTCGTTACTGTAGGATCACAATAGGAACTTGAAGATTTGAGCTTTTGAGAGCCACATTTTGCGTCAAAAGAGAAACCAAGCTGGCTAGAAACCTGTACGCTAGGATAAACAAAGTCGCTGATTCCGAATATGAAAATGACACTTTACCGTAATGCTTCCTCTAATAATTATTCCAGTTTTACAGTGGCAATCGTTTTTACAATATTTTTCAAAAACGCAATCAAAACCTCCTACAAAACACAAACTTTTTTGAACTTTCTTGGAACGGCCTATCTCGAAATAAGTTTATTTTCGATCAGGTAGTTTGCACATTTTTTGCGAACACCCTGTGTACTATTCCTAACAGCGCTCAATGAATGAATGTAGAATTTATTAGATTCCGGAAGTTAGTATTGCGTAACTGACAGCAACTGCTCGTAAAATTGCACATAGGAAGTTATACAATTAAATAACTGAATAGTTCGCGTTTCTATAGAACTTTATTTGCAGCGTTGCCTTATGAGTACAGCATTTTTTTCCGCTCAGGCACTGTCGGCACTGCAGCTGCACATATCCGACCGTAATTATACTAGTCCATACTTGTTAAGATGCGAGGAAAGTGCTGTAATGGGCTCATGTAGAAATCCTGTTCTTATAGCAAATTTTCCGATTGAAGCAGTTATCGTCAGTTGTACTTTTTCAAAAAAACTTCTTGTAGCGTGATTCATTTCCAGTTTTTTTCCAGTGCATTGCATAATTTCGCCCTTCTTCAAGCGCAAGATATTTTGAGCTCTCAAAAATGTCGACCAGGCTATAATAACCATAACGTACAAATCAAGACATGTGTAAAGGTCAAAACGGCGCAACCTAAGTGATTCGACAAGCGTTTCGTCGTGTTGGTTTTCCCGCCTCGTAGATTAGATCGGACGTCGATCAGCGCCAAGGCGCTAGATACTATCTGCCGCCATGTGGTTCCTGAGTTTATTTCGCTTTTATGTGCTTTCAGCTGGGGTCGGCTACATGACAGGCAACCGGTCTGACTCGCAAAAGGAGTTTGCAGTTGGGTAACTGCACACTTTTGCGTCTTAAATTTAAGCAGTGGATTGAAGCGCAATCGTGCGGAAATGATTTCATTTCCTACATTGCGACATTCTCGAAAAAACTCTAATTTCTGGTACGGTGCAAGGCGCTCGAAAAATTACTAACCAATGATCTTTGAAAATATTAACTTTTTGATGTCCTCTAAACTTGTAGAAATAAAGAAAAAAAAACTGAGGCAAACGCACATTGGATCTTCGGTAACTCGATTGCTCCAGTCATAGTTAATCACGGCTCAAAATTGCGGGAATGCTTCAGCAGTACAATCTCAGAAGAGCAATTGCTGGGTATCACAAAACTAGAGTAAATCTTTGTCAGAAAAAGACTTGCAAAAGCTCGTGATTTTGCTCTAACTTCATGTCAAGACTTGACGTTAGAATTTTCACCAAGTTGGTAGGGTTGCGGAAATCAAGGAAAAATTGTTGAAACGTGATGACTGGCCTTATCTGAAAGGCCCATATGTACGATAAGTCCCTTATGTGTGAAATTATTGCACCTGTTTCCTGACGACCCTCTAATCGTTCCGGATATCTCAGCTAATTAGATAATGAGCTATAGGGTATTACACACATGTCCATCACCTACTTCCTCAAGAGGTTGTCTCTCATGACACTTGTTGGTTATCTTTGATGCCACTCAAGTAGGAAAAAGTCAAGATTGAAAACTTTCCGGGAAAAAAGAGTTGAATCCTCCTAAGAAAAAAAGCCAAATTATTTTGCTGAAAAATTGTGATATGTAGCTGAAGTAGCCTTTCCGAAAACCATGAATGAAAATTTTGGTTGCAAGAAGTTAATGCATGATGAACATGTGAAATCCCGGAATTCTTCTTGGTTTTGTTTTTTCAAGGCACTTTGAGTTTATGAACGTATATCATAAGCAAGCTTCATAGTGTGATTCAGCTAGGAGGAGCAAGACCAGTGGTTAAGATTGTTTCAAAGTTGAGCTTTTCATATGAGAGGAGTTAGCCATTTCAAAACAAAGCTATAACACTTCGCGATTGCTGTATGTCCCTTTCACGCTTCAGAGCATTTCAGCCAGATAATATTTCCGAATGGGGATTTGTTAAGACTGACGATGCCATTATACGTGGATCATGTCGATATGCGGATTAATGGTGGGATGAAAATGCCGATGGCATTGGCAGATATCGCCGAGTGACAAAGCACACTGCATCTGCGTGGATGCTAACGAATAATTAGAGATCAGATTTATTCTTCTTTATTCGAAGATCTATGTACATCAAGTATATTTATCAGCATTATTTCGACGATAGATTTGAGCAAAAACTTGGACAAACACAAAAAATCGCTAAAAACTAACAGACAGCTTGAAGCGCTGCCTGCGAATAGATATTGATGGTCTTCTCGTCTTCGATAAAAATTTTTGCATTCGCAGTAGGGGGAAAGCGGATTCCTCGAAGTGGAAAACTCGTCTTGATGCTAGCATTTTCAAGACTTCTTTTTCCACTGGCAAACGCCTGCAAGAACATCTTTATTCCCTAGAACCGTCTCACGCAAACAAACTACTTGCATACCTTGATGAATGACCGTAAGCCGTCTACCGTAATCGAACTGGGTACGGCGATTTGGAACGTGGAAGCGGAAAGTTCACTTAAGATAGAGTCGTCCAGCGAAAGCAGGACATCGTTGCTCTGAGCATCGATCAGTTCGGAAACACTGAAGAACCGTCGCGAGACGATGAACCGGCACATCTCTGGCCCGAAGTGCTCCTCGGTGCACCCACGAAGCATTCGAAAAACTAGGTCCGTCGGAGCGACGTCGCGGACAAATTGCAGCAGAGCGGAAGGGCTGACCGAGGACAGCGAGGTCAGTTCGAGCGACAGAAGGCGAACACGACAATTTGTGCTGCGCAAACACGATCCAATTTGGTGCAAAGCCTCGTCGGACAGTTCCATCTGAAAACGGAACCGAGTTGATGTGATGGATTGAAAACGAATTAAAAAACAAATCTACTTGTCCGAATTTTATAGTCATCATAAATTTTATAGTGTAAACAATATGTTGAAGCGTCAATTTTTCCTAGTGATACACCAAGCTACGACTCTACATTTCTTAACTTTATTTCTCCTGAACAAACAAAATCCAACAGGAAACTGAATTGTCGTAAGGATTATCAAACGAACAACAAAAAATCAATAATTCATCCAGTCTGAATTCCACTATCCATACATGCTTTATTATGGTAATTCTCAGCATGTTTGATTTGAAGTATGACGACTTTATGTGGGCATAGGGAACAGAATTTTTGAAAGTGTATGCGAACGATACTCCCTCAAAAATCTAGAAATTCATCTTCTTGAGTTTCTCAACGCTATCATCTGAATATCTATTGATTGGTATAACTGCGATCTAATAACAGTTTGTAAATAGTGTCAATTCGACGAAGAAATTATTGCAACTGTGCTGAAGGATCATAATGGAGATTGTGCTTATAGTCACGGTGGTGTCTAACATTTATCCGCAAGTGAATAAAATAAAATCAACAAATGCATTTTAGAGGAAGAGTGTCAGTCAGGCGTATTATAAGCTCTTTTCCTCTAGAGTTCTTTTGTATAACGTAGCATGGCATAAATTCTGTGGGCATAGATTTTGTAGCACTCATCTTTTCAAGGTATCAAACAAGGATAGATTATGATGGCAGTATTACACATAGAATTGAATCATGTCTAAGGTTAGAGGGTCAAACCAAGAAATAAGTTACTGTTAATAATTTGCTAATAAATAAACGACCGCTGATGAAATCCAGAGATGATTGTTTGTGCTAGACTCGGCTACAAACAGTGTTGTCTATAGATTGAAAGTACTTACCATGCTTTTTTTTCAGGAAGAGAACAACTCCAAGTTTTCGATTTATCATTAAAATATGCAATGAGGGCTTTCAGATCTTACAGTCAAGAAAAGTCCTATACAGCATCTCAATACACCAACCTCGTTAAGCCGAAGCCGATCCACTTCGCTTCCCTTGAGAACTTCTTTTAGGCGATCCACTAAGGTCGTAGGTATTTCAGTTGAGGAACCAGGCTCAGCTGGTTGCGATTGCTGTACCAAGAGGTTAGCTGCATCCACGTGAGCACCAGTTCCAGCGATACGGTAGAAGTCAACAAAGGCTTTCTGAAACTAGCGCACTTTATTGATTTGCCAAAATTTGCAGATGTTAAAATTTTGCATAATCAATATTGTGATTGTCGGATGAATTTGCGATTGGGTACCGTAGAAAGTTTTTGTTACTTAGAGAAGAATAATCGATCAATCACAGTTACTCAGGGATTCAAGAGAACAAAAAGTGACGGATAAAAGAATCTCAGCTCATCTTAGGAAAGCTTGCAATAAGAATCCTTCCTCAGTTCAATGCTACAACTATGCATGTACGAATGCCATTTCTGACAGTGGTAGTGCGAACTGTGAATGTGAATTCTTGTTAGTAAGATGCACTTACAGCTATTTCGATCAGATAAGAGACTAAACATCCCTTTTACAGGTAAGGACTTAAACGTTTTCTGGGTGGGGCTCAAAATTTGCAAACTAATAACTACTTCAAAAAAGTGGTGATTTTCGTTGCAACACTCAAAAATTCTCGTAAAAAGTATATGATCACAAATTTAGGCGATCACCTTGATTTGCATCGATAGCTCAAGCGGATCCCTTCTTCTCCTCTTCTGACAAGCGGACCACTTCATTTTCTTGCCTTCTTCATCGCATTTCATCGACAGTTGAACTCGCCCTTGGCCTATCTGCAAAAATCACAATTATTGTGGTTTTTGGAGACTCTTCGACCAATTTCCTTACCCTTTCTATCCTGACAAAATCCAGGTGCCTCCTCCTCATCGACTTCTCATTGTTCTCGATCATCTCACAAAAGTGCTTGCTCAGCGTTTTGCAAGCACTGAGATCTCTTCGCTGTAGGTTTCCAAGCACTTGAATTTGTAACTCTTTCGGGAGCGCTGTCCATTCAAAGGCATCGCCCTGCAAATGTGTTCCTTTTCGCTTGATATCGCGCTTGTTTGTAAGAAATTACGAATGAGATTCGCATTGCGTAATCGATGTCGGGGCTTCACATCGAGTTTGGGCCGAATAAACTTGCTGCTGGCGATCAGACACTTTTGCCAGTCTGGCTGATCACAGGGAAATTGCGTAACGCTTACCTTTTGCTGTGAGGAAGATGGTTGGCAGGGATCGTGACAGTCATCGCCCGGATTTAACTTGGTCATGGAATTTTCGTTTGAAGGAACTGAAAAAGCTGGAACTGACAATGCTTCTAACAATTCAGGCAAATTAAACGTCGAAAACAAAGGCGAAAAGTGTTGAGAAATAAATAAGTCGGAAAGTTGGATTGAAGACAGTGGAGTGTTGAAAGTTTCGAGATGCTCAGGGAAAATTTGTGAAGAATAGCACCGAAATCTTTACCAAACCGTAGAGATAGAAATCAAATATAAATAATTTTATTTTAAATCAACTAAGATTTCGAACGAATGCATGGTGAAGTATCAGTGCCTGTTAAGATCGAATTTTGGGAAATAATTCGGTGTTTGAAATTTGCGACTGTGTACGCTTAGATTCCTGTAAGAGGCTTTGTAAGTACGTATCAGACAGAAAGGTAAATTATCTTCGGGATTAGGACAGACTGTACTGCCCGTGAAAAGACCTAGCAATAATGTTTGAATTGAGAGTGTGTGAAAATCTGAAGATTTTTGATCTGAAAAATTCCTTGGGATCGCAGGGGACTCAACATTTGGGGTCTTCAAAAGTTGAAAGTTGAAATGGAACTTGACAAGTAATGGCAGGAACTAGAACTTGAAATTCCACATCATCTGCGCTCAAAAGATCAGATAAAAACGAAATTTTGACAAATAGATGAGACCGACGAAAACCAAGGCAATTCAAAACCTAAAAGATGTAATGCCTGTGAACAGAACGGTAATGAGCAGTAGCTGAGGGGTCGATGAGGCGCGACGAGCGCTGGATTGTTCGTCCGCCACGGGTGGTATGTAATAGCGGCGGCCCGCTGCGCGAACATGCTCCGCCTTTGCATACGGTAGCTCGCACATAGCGCTCGCATAGCTGCTGCTCGCCGTCGATAGAGAACGAGCAAAATTTGCTATTGTAATTCACTACAAGAGCAGTTACACATCCAGTGTCTGCTGGGCATATTGCGTCAAGAAATTTCCAAAATCAGTAATATGAGCGTCAAGAAAGTAGTTATCAGCAGTAGGAATTCTTTCCAGAATCAGTAATCTGAGAGCCATGTATCGTATACAACAACTACTTTGTGGTCCTCACTGCATAATTTATCAATGATTTTTTTCATTTTAATTTATCAATTAAAATGAAATGCTTCCTTGACAAATATTAAACATATTTATTTATTGTTTTAATCACAGCCCTACCTCGACGCCTTCATGTCATTCAAACCCATCCCTGTTAAATGTGAACCAAAGTAACAAGGGAAGTACTCTTATCAAAGTTGCTCTTAAAAGCTTTGACCATACATTATCCCGTGTTACCCGTATTACCAGTTAGTTACTCGTGTTACTAGCTTTACTAGTGTTGTCGCTTTCATTGCTGTTGAGTAGTGAAATGAACACCATACAGTCTCATTTTAGAACGCAATATCACTAATCGATGAGTAACACGAATAACACGAGTAACACTAGTAACATAGCTAGCATTGGAAACACTGGTAACACAGGTATATGGTCGAAGTCTAAACTGAAGCGTGTACTGTCAACGCAGCGATTAATGCTGATCTTGAATTTATTATCGCTATCCGCGGGAAGCTTTTTTTGAAAGTTATAGGTTTGACTCCTTTCATCATCCTTCATTTTCGCATTTTGTTTGGCACTCATTTTTTTTTCGAAAAAGCGTTTTGCAAATGCAGTGCCAAATTTGGGAGTAAAATTAGATTTTACGCTTTACAGTATTCATCTCACTCCAAGTGGCCCTTATACTTATAGTACTTTCCAAAAATTTTGCCTACTCTGTTAACCTGCTCCATATTTTTGTATTTAATGAGACGAATCGAATTTTTCGCACACATTTTCATTCAGATCGCATTTAGCGCTAGTGGTGGAACAAGCCAGCATTATGCTATCATGAAAAGGAATGCCGCAGCTGAGGGGGGGGGGGAAGGCGATTGAGAAATTTTATTTTGTGTTTAAAAAATTACAAAGAATATATGGTACTCAAGTAATCCTTAGGCTGTAATAAGATTCTATTCCATCGGCTGGAAATGCATTTTTCTCAGCGAAAATTTCAGTAAATGGAAGACTTTTGCCAATGTCAGCAAATCCCCTCAGAATTAAAGTCATACAGAAGGGAGAATATCTTTGCGAGATACTAACTTCGTTAACGGCAACTTTTATTTGGTGTTCGTTAACGCATCTCCAAAAGAGGATTAGTGCAGGATTTGCTGACTGATCAGTCATTCATTCGCCGCTGTTCGCGAGCAGGTAGGAGCGGCAATGTGCTCTCGTACAATGTGTCGCGGTGCTCAGTGAGGTGGATTTACGACGAAAGGCGGCACCTTTTGACGCGCTGCGAACAATGAGCGGGTCATAAAAGTGCCACGAGCTTGTTCGTCGTAACAAATGTCTTTATGGACACGACTACGGTGAAGAATGGAAGGGCGTTAATCGCAAAAGAAGCATAACTAGCCTGAGAGATGGCACAGGGTTATAATCTAGCAAATTTCTCGTTTGATGTAATGCCCCTGCGGTGCAGACACCATCTGCGCGTATAATTGGTTACTGAATGTACATTCTCAAGTTTCTTGCCTTATGACAAATTACAAGTATTCCACGCAAAAACACTAGATTAACATCGAAAATTAGGGAAGGACTTCGTGACAAATTTTTTCCACATTCCCCATGGGACTTCCCCACTTCCCGAGTGTGCTGTGTTCACATAACAGTGACAGCATCTAGTGTTATGAGCAAGCCGCCCATTATCGCTGCTCAGATACGCATCAGCAGCCAGCTGATGCTTCCTTTGACCTCGCCGCTTTCATCCATTTAAGTTCCGAACGCTGCATTTGGTAAGAAAGAATGTTCAAGCAGTAGTGTCGCCTCAAATCATTCGCGCCGCTAGAATCTAGTTTTTGATCTGACGCATCGTTAAGAATTTATCTTGACTCAGACTGGCATCCCATAATTTTCTACGGTAGAAGAATGAGCGGAAAAGTTGGCGAGTTTTCTAGTGAAGAGTATACAGAACGGTGTTTCCATGGAAAATTTTGTGTATGACTGTTCTGGTGAAACGCGCCTGAATTTGAAAATTCAACCGATTATATTAATCTTCGACGGCTTCCTGAGATTTCCACAAATTTTGAGGAAACTTTGTAAGTTTGTCTAAGATTTGCGTGTTTGAGGAGCAAGTAACAACACTTCAAACAAAATGTTGCATTCGTAAGAACGACCCAAGTTTATGTAAACTTCAAAAATCACATTTGAACCTGTAAAACAAATTCGCATTGCAACTCAACTTCTCGGATACTTACTTCTGTTGATAAGCCACTATCTAATAAAAAGTATTGCCATAGCGATTGTAGGAATTACCATGTTTTTTAAAAGACCGGTACAATCATAATTACGGCAATGCCAACGAGTAAGTCTCTCCCAGCCACAGACAGAAGGAGAAATGGTTATCTGCTCAAAGTGATTCGGGGATAAATATTTGTGTACTCAAAGTACGAATTAGGCCTCTTTTTGTACCCGAATTAAAGCGAATCACAGAAATGCATGTGTTCTTTGCCTAAACAGTTTTTTTTTTCATTTGTGAAAATATGCCATGACAACACCGTGATAAAAGTATGACAGATTCCTTACGCCCCTTGGTGATAGTAGAGAACTATGTATTGTAGTATTTGGAAGATATAAAGGATAATACCAAGAAAGCAAAAGTGGCTTTAACAGATGATTGTTTTGGCTGGAGAAAAACACTATTACGTTTAAATCTTGCCTAAGGCACTCATGCATCATTTAGTGTTTTGGGCAATGAAACCAAAACTAAAATTGAAAAAAATGGTTGCAAATCAGCATTGCGGATGATGATGTCATCTCATCTTAGAGTTGAGATTGGTTGAATTCTGATCATACCGGTAGTGTGCTAAGCATTTC